GAGAGGATAATGTAATTATTAGTTTCTGGGAAACAGCTTTAAATTGGTAAATGGTAAAAGAAACTATAGAATACAAATCAAACCCTAAGAGAAATCACAAATTTTGTCCCAATCAAACACTATGATTACAGAAAGAGGTCTTCTTGGTGAGTTCATGTGAACAGCTTCTCAGATATGTTTGTGTAATAACCACTTTCATCACTCACCATTGTGCCAGGTTTTCCCCTTTGAATATCTCAGCATCATCGAAACCTGTTCACATTTTTCATTTAAAATCTTTGTAGAGGTTTTCATAATTCAAACTAGATTCTGTGAAGCTTGTTTACCTGAACCCAAGTCTTCCGTTTCATCGATAACAGCTACTTCTTCTGTCCTCTTAACGGACTCGAGTGACTTCCAGTCTGAGCTTCCATTTCCTTCTATGCAAACTTGGTTTCTCGAAACCCAGTCTTCAACAACTTCCATGTTGCTGTGTGATAATGGATCTACATTGTCATCTCCGCTTTCGCAGCCCCTAGAGGAAACAGAAAAAAACCCTTAAGTTATATGTTTTGAACAAAACACGGTGTTGTGATCGAGAAGAAGCAAGAGATTCCAACTTACAGCCGTCTGAGACGCATGTTGTACTGAACAAATACAAGATCGCTGAGACGTTGTCTCTCAATGGAGTTCTTCGATTCATATATTTGCTCGATTGGTGTCAGGTTTCTCCTGGATCCAATTGATGAGCTGCATGGCTGACTCAGAATGCGTATGGCAAATCGTGACAGGTTCAAGCAGCTCTCTCCATATGTAGACCACCATTCAGCTAAAGAATCAAACATGTTAAGTACTAACGAAACACTTGAACATAGGAGTATTCATGAGATTCAATGAATAAGAAGAAAAGAAATGGCGTAATACCAGGAAGCATTGTGTCCCGAGCTCTTATTGCTAAGTTCCTTCCGAAAATTCCAACAGCATTCTTGTATGAGTTTATGTCCTTAATGATTATATCTTGAATGTTGACGTCAGGGACCAACTTCTCTATGCAATCAACCACCGCTAAATGGATCTCACTACGCATTTCTTCGTCAATGCTATAGAAGAACTTTGGGTTAAGATAGAAACCAGCAGCATGCAAAGGAAGGCGTTGTTGTTGCAACCACCACCGATCTATAATTTTCCAGTAAATTGTGTAATCCTCTATGTGAACCAGATGTGTCTTAATTGCTTCCTTTGCTCGATATAGTGCTGCATAGACATACCCCATTGCAGGCTTCCTTTCAGAATAAACTATCCTCAAAACCCGCAAAAGAGGAAGTGTTATATGGTTTGCCAATGTTAATGCCTTCCAGAAACTCTCATCGTTGATCGTCTCAGTCATTGCCAATCCACCTGCTTCCTTCGAATATGAACAATCGTTCCACTCTGATGAAGTAACCATGGCCTGCAAATGGAGTTTTAGATCCGCGATTCTTCCCATTGTTGCAAAATTTGTTGCAGAACTGGTCAAGGCTGGTTGCACAATATCATTGCCAAAAGTGAATTTCCTCATCAGATTCAAAACATCACTGTGGTTGTAAATAATTCTTGAGACAGTTCGAGCCTGTTGGATAATTTCCCTTATCCAGGCAATCTTCCCAAATTCTTCAAGCATCTTGTCTAAGCAATGTGCAGCACAAGGAACCCAGTATAGAGAAGGATACACATCCATCAACTTTTTCCCAGCAGTGATGTAATGATCTTCACATTTGGTAATAACTTGGACAACGTTGCTGTCACCGATTTCTTCAACCACATCCTTAAGTAACTCATACAATTTCTCGGCAGAAGCTAAAATTTCCGATGCGTCAACTGATTTCAGAAACACTACTTTTTCCGGGCAGTAAACCAGAAAATTAAGAACCATGGGGCCTTTGTTGGGATTCGATTCCTGGACTAATACGGAACAGCCTGTCTTCTTCCACATGGATTTGCATTCATCAATGTCTTTCTTCATTTCCTCAACGCAACTCTTCAAAATCCAACCTCTGAGGTCTTCATGTGTGGGAACAGAAACACCAAATCCTCCCGAAACAATCGTATCGATAAATGGTTGGAAATTAGCAGAATTAACCGCCTCAAAATCGGCTCCAATATCAAACAAAAACCGTCCAACCGCCATATGAACTGTCTTTTCACGGTCTTTTGAGGACGGATGCACAATGTTCTTCACGCTACTAATAGCCACAGGAATCAAATTGTCCATGTCACGACCAATCAGGTCGCTGATATTGTTCACACCACCAACCTCAACATTGGCCAAATCACTTCTTTCAAAAGCATTATTATTATTCTTTCTACTCCTGTATGTTCTCTGCTTCGTTCGTCCCGTGCTTTGACCAGCTACAACATCCGAGCTCGGCGATTTGAAACCGTTATTCACATCAGGCGGAACAACGACCTCAGTTTCCGCTTCACAAGGAGGGAAATAAGCTATAGGCAGTGGATCAGGACTAGACTTTCGCCTCTTCCTCTGCCGTCTCACAGTGCCATCAATACACTGCTGCAAGAAAAGACGAACGTCTTCAGGAACTTGGTCACAGATCGTACCTTGTCCCTTCTTACCAGCAAGATGTTCCTTAACCCTTGTAATACCACCTCCTTTAAACATCTTCCGACAGTAAAGGCACCTCATTTGTACTCGTTCCCCATATTTGTAAACTTCACAGTGCTTCCACGCACTGTCCTGTTTCTGTGGTGTAAGAGCTACAGGCTCCAAATCCGAATCCATTCAAAACAGAGAAACCTACAAAACTCGACACAAAATTGAAACAACAAGACCCATGAATTACATTGCGAGCTATTGGGAACCCTAGATCCTCAAAATTAACGTTACAGAATCAGCTGCATATAAAAAGCTCTCAACTTTCGCAATTTTTCGTTAATTCAAATACGGATCGGATTTATATTGATCGAACCCTTCAAGGGCAGAGCTTAAACACGCAAAATTCTAAAACCCAGTACACCAAAATCTCAACAGATTTACACAAACCCGTAAATTTCTCCGTTTGTATAAATCGTAAGAAGAAGAAAAAAAACTGGGTAAGAACAAAGACGAAGGAAAAAAATCGAACCTTTTTTTTTTGGTTTGCAGGTTATGACCGGGTTGGTTACGAGAGAAGAATCGGTTCGATAAAAAGTTTGATAAAATTACGGTATAAGGAGTTCGGTTCCGGGGAAGAGGAAGGTGGAATCAGACGGAGAAGAAGAGTGGGAGAAACTGCGGAGAAGAATCTGAAGGCGACGGAGAAATGCAATGTAAAGGAAAAATTTTGAGATGACCCGGCTCGTTAGGGTTCGAGAGGAAGAAAGGTTGGGCAGC